TTTGGGATCATTAGCGGAAAAATAAACACTTCCTGATATGAAAAGGGTGGTTCATAGAGTTAATATAATCTTGAATTAGTCAAAGACAAATATACAGGATTTGTGCCCACCTGCCATAGAAATAAAATTTTCCAAGGCTTTCAGTTAAGTAACAAAATAGTATCATTTTAAAGATTAAATTATTCTCTGTAATGCCTAATTCGTGATGGACCTAAGTGGTTTCTATCCTTGAATGCCAGCAAATTCGCGCATCATGAACATCCTGTGACCACGCCTCATAATTGCTCCTGGTATCAGAGCCGGCGTCCGTGTCGCCAGTCCAATGCCTCCTGGAGTCCATGCGAGAAGGTAGATGGCTTGCGGGTCCCTCTCTGTAGTTTTATCCCCCGAGTATGGAGGCGTTAGACAGCTTGAAAACTGAGATTCATATCCGGAATCATATTTAGCGGTTATGATGGCTTCACTATCAGGGATCGAGTGGTTGGAGGATTCAAAAATGCAGTCGGTGGGTTCCAGCTTTGGGTGACTGATTATACCAGCAACGCTAACCCAGCCTAACATAAAAAAGAGAAAAAAACAATTGCTTGATGAATTATGATTCTTCGAAATAAATTACATTAATTGTAGGTATGAAGACCAAGATGCTGTGGCCTTTTGTGTGGTCGCAGTCTCCTTTCGTTGTATAGAAGTTGTTTGACCTTGTTTTCGCAACTCGTTCATATTGGTAGGAAGATTTAGAGGAACACACCTTGTCCGGAGTCCATTGTATGCATAATCATTTCAAAAGTCGGACAGTGGACGTGGTACATTCCCATACGTTTCGCTGACATCGTCAGTAAGTTTTGCCGTTCGTAGCATCATTTTACAACTCAACAAAGAGACAAGTGAAGCCGATAATTTGACCAAACGTGTGCTAAACAGTTATGGTATCTCCCCTTCTGCCCTTGCCTATTCACATTTCCTTTATCCTCCTATCACACCTTTACTGTTACAATTTTTTACTTGCTTAATTAGATGTGATACGGCGTGCCCTTTTAAGCAGCTTTCATGAAAAGCACCCGCACTCCCCACTGGCCTTCTCACCCCCCTTCATCCTTGTGCTGGGAATGTTGATCAGAGTCTGCCATATTGTTACGCAGGCCTCCTTTCCTAGGTCTTACAACAGTCTCTCTCTTTCTCCGTAAGATCCCTTTGCCCTCTCCCTGGTTCACATATTTCACTCGACCCCTGCCAAACCATCTTGGTCTTCATACCTTCGATTAAACTATGGAAATAAGATTGCCAAACAATGCACTTATTACAGCCGAACGAAGAACACAATTGTAAGTCAATCCT